TTTTCTTTCTTTCTTTTTCTTTCTTTCTTTCTCTCTTTCTTTCTTTCTCTCTTTCTCTCTCTCTTTCTCTCTCTCTTTCTCTCTTTCTTTCTCTCTTTCTTTCTTTCTTTCTTTCTTTCTTTCTTTCTTTCTTTCTTTCCTTCTTTTTTCTTTTTTCTTTTTCTTTCTTTCTTTCTTTCCATGGCCTGGTGTTTTAGCTTTAACTTTTAACCCAAGAGATGGACAAGAGCCCCTGAAAGCATTATATAGCCTCTTATGTTCCTATGGGCCCAAACCTTTGTTCTAGGAAATCCCCATAGGTAAATTTGTCTCTGAATTTAAATTTCCTGTATCATCTTTTTCTTTTCTTCTTCTTCTTTTTAAAACATTTTCTGGGGCCTGGGGATTTCCTTGCTTTTTTGAGACTTCTTTATACAAGTAAAAAGTTGCCTCATATTTCATTCAGGATCTCTAGGTGTTGCATATTGGGAGAATTTTTCAGGTTACCAACTATATCAGATTACTGAAAAAGGAAATTTTTCTATAGAGTCAGCCTGGAGAACAATTTGGAAATATTTAGTCAGCTGAATATGTTCATACCCTACAACCCCAACAATTCAATCTTAGGTATATACCCCAGATCAAAAACAAATGTGCAGCAAAGAGTCATGGCCAAGAATGTTGACTGTAGCATTGTTTGTAAAGATGGAAAAAATAGAAACAACTTAAATGTGCATGTACAGAAGAAGAATACATGAAACTTAATATAGTCACAAAATGAGATAGCATACAACAGGTAAAATTAACGAACTAGTCCAAATGTAGGAAGATGACTTAATCGCAAATGTAGTGTTGGCCAAAAGAGCCAACTGAAGACTCTTATGCACAGAATGATTACATTTATTTAAAGTTTTTAAAAACACTCCAAATTATGCTTATATTTTTTAGGGATATAGGCATATCTGAAAAGTTGGGACTGATAACGTGAACTTTAGGAGAGCGGTTACCTTTGGAGAGGTTGCGGGGGGAAAGAGATTGGGAAGAGTACAAGGAGGGCTTCACCTGCATTTCTGATGTGTTTCAGAAAAAAACATGACAGTTCTGAAGACAGCAAATGAAGACCCATTGGCCAGTCCCTGTGAGTGTCCTGTTTTTTTTTTTTTTTTTTTTCAGACCCATGAGCTGGGAATAGTTTCTATATATTTAAATGGTTAAATGGAAACTGCATTTTGCTTTCTGGACCACAAGATCTAAAATATTTATTCTCTGCTCTTTAAGAAGCACCCTTTGGTCAATATGGAAAAGTGTAAGAAAATTTGTGGTGGGTACTCGGTTATCTGTTACATTGTTCTCTAAAAAAAATGTTAAAAAAAGTATAACCTCAATACAATTATTGCTTTAAAAATTAATATCATCATATATCCAATCAATGTCTAATTAGCTCTGATAATTACCTTGTAAATGTTTTTTAATAGTTGTTCTGTTCAAATTAGGATCTAAACAATATCAACACCTTTTAAAAAAAAGGTAGGTATACATTCATAATGAAAAATAACTAGAGCACCTCTGAGTTCTTCTCGAGCTTTCCTCTATCTTTCCTTTCCATAATTCCCAATCTCTTTGAAAGACCGTCAACATGTCTTTATCTCAACCCACTGCAACCTGGCTACTGTATCAAGCACAGCCACTCAAATTGCTCTCTCTGGATCACCAGTGCTTTCTTTTTTTTTTTTTTTTTTTAAGATTTTTATTTATTTATTTATTTATTTATTTATTTATTTATTTGTCAGAGAGAGCACAAGCAGGGGGAGCAGTAGAGGGAGAGGGAGAAGCAGGCTCCCCACTGAGGAAGGAGCCCGATGTGGGACTCGATCCCAGGACCCCGGGATCATGACCCGAGCCGAAGGCAGACGCTTAACGACTGAGCCACCCAGGCGTCTCCACCAGTGCTTTCTAATCGCTAAACCAAAGGGACCCATTTCTGTCCATATTACACGTCTTCCTCTGTATCACTTAACATAATTAATCAATTATAGAAATGCTCCTCTTCCTTGGGTCTTATGATGCCATTTTCTCCTTGATCTCCTATGACCTTGATGGCTCCCTTCCGGTTTGGGGTTAGGAGTCTTTCTTTTCCACCTGGTCCTTTCATCGTAATGTCTATCTTTTGTTTCTTATTCCTTATATCCTTCCTGGGCCACGGCATCCATGTTCATGGCTTTCATCTCACTCCTCGGCTGATGATTCCCAAACACACCGCCTCCCACCAGGCCTAGCTGCCCAGCTCTAGACCTGCGTTCTCGCCCTCAGTTCTCCTTGGACACGTCATAGGGGCCTTAGGTTCAGCACGTCCAGAGCAGAACTCTTCAGCTCCCTGCTAGTTTAGGCCCTTGTTAGCGCTCACCTCGTCTGCTTCATTAACTTCTTAACCTATCTCCTTGCCTTTAGTCTCATCTCCGAAACCAATTTCACGTAATGTCCAGAGCAATAGCTCTGTGACAAAAAGTAATCATTTCCTCCTGCACTTACCCTTCAGTGGGATTTCCTTTCCTTAGCTTCCAGACCCCTTGACATCATTTCAAGCCCCTTTGAGTTGTCCTGAGTTCCTTTCCTGCTTAACCCTGACACTCCCCACCGCACGCCTGAGGGTACAACTGCTTGAATGTGCCAAACTCTGAGCCTTTCTATGTGCTTCAACTGTAATGCCTTTCCCTGACATCTTGGCTTGATGAACTCCTGAGATTCATTTTAAGGATCTCCTCCTCTGTGAAGATTTCCTGAATCTTCCACCCCCAGATGAATGAAGACCTTCCTTTCCCATGTCCTCATGGGACTCCATACACAAACAATCATACACAATTGCTTTTATTAAACTGTATTTTAGTTATTGATTAATGTGCTACTGTCCCTACTTACCCGTGTCTGCCCTGGGAGGCTTGGACCTGGTCTCATTCACCTGGACCTAGAATAGTGTCTGGTACATTATAGGCACATGACTGCCTGAGGAATGACATGAAATTTATCCAAGATTTATACATGTATTCATGACAAAATCATAACCATTTAAGTAATAAAATGAAACTGTGGTAATACCTGGATAAATATGATTTTTTAGTTAACCACATTTTTTTTTTATTCCAAAATGTTAATGATCCCAAATCTTTTTATGTAGGGTTTACTTCTGTCTTCTCACACCCAAACAGGCAACAGTTACTGCTTCCCTTCCTGTATATTATGTAGCCACATCTACGAGTAGTACTGAGAAAGTATTCTTTTTTTTTTTTTAAGATTTTTATTTATTTATCTGTCAGAGAGAGAGACAGAGAGAGAGTATGAGCAGCGGGGAGAGGGAGAAGCAGAGCCCGATGTGGGGCTCGATCCCAGGACCCCGGGATCATGACCTGAGCCAAAGATAGACGCTCAACTGACTGAGGACCCAGGTGCCCCCTGAGAAAGTATTCTTATCCGTCTTCCTCTCAAACTAGGGATGGAGTTCAGACCCAGAAAATATACATTGAGCAGCATGACAATTTGCAGAAAGGCCAGGTAGTCACAAACATTTTGGGGAGATTTTGAAAGGAATATAAAAGGAATACAAATTCCATAGATGATAAATTTCAAGCCAGTAAGAGCTGATTTGAAAACTCGAAAAAGAAATAAAATTTCTGTATCAGGAAAAATGAATAGAAAAATCTGCCTGGGGGTGGAGATGACAGCACAGAAGCATTTCCTGATTAATTGAAGAAGGTGGTTTGAAAGGGAAGTTATCTACCAGAGCAGGGTCCAGTTGGTGGTGGTGTTTTGGTTTCTTTTCCTCGAAACAAAACCACCAAATCTAGTTTGTTTTGGAAATTTGAATTTTTCTTCTATGTGTCTTTGTTATATATAAATTACAATGTCTTTATTATTTCCCGCTTCCCCGCCCCACTGTAGTTTTCAGAAACACGAGCTCAGTGGTTACGAGGGTTTGCTGACATGTGCTTTTATCTTACATTGACAATATTAATTTAAAAGTTAATGTCTTCTTTTTTAAACATAATGCTTGTTTTTTATGGTCAAGATTACTCGATTTAGCAAATAAAACTAGAGGACACCCAGTTAAATGTAAATTTCAAATAGACACTTTTTTTTTTAGTGTAAGTACATCTCGTGCAGTTCAGTGTTAGAGGCCACACAAATATTGCATGGGACATGTTTATACTAAAACATTATTTGTTGTTTATCTGATATTCAAATTTAACTGGGCAGCCTGTACTTTAGTAGCTCTCTGACTATGATTATCTTTTGTCAAGCAAAGACCATCCTTACGTTGGTGCATCACTAAGACCACAGGCATATTGGCTGTGTAGCCAGTTAGCAAATATTAGACGAAAATTTAAGCTGAGTCCTAGATCAATCATTCAACTCATAAGTAGAGGACCTGTGCTGGAAAACGCAAAACAAAACAAAAAACACCCCAGTGATTGCATAGGCTAAAACCAGGAATCCAGGAGTGGATCAACTTTAGAGAATCTACTAATGTAATTCATCCCATTAAAAACTAGAAGAGAAAAAAAATTGCAGGATCATAATAATAAAGGCCGAAAAGAGGTTGACAAGAGAGTGGGGCTGCCCAGCATCAGTAGCTCAAGCGGCAACACTCAATTCTCAGTGCTCAAGTCCTGCTAGATTGCCCCGGGGTGGAGGGGCAGGGCTGAGTCTCAAGGTGAAATAGGATCAGAGGGAAGCAGGGCTTAGAGACCCGGGTAGGGGCCTTTGCTGACCCCAGAAAATCCCACCCACAATCTGCTCCCCTCAGACACTGCTCCAGAGACCTCAGGAGATGGCCTCCTTCCTCAGCCTCCCAAACTCTTGCTCTCTGCTCCTCCTTAGGCTGATGATGTGAACTTCTGATTGCACCCTGTCCCCCTTCCTCCTGCCGCTTGTGGTGAAGGTACATTAGCCCCTGAGATACTAGCCCACATCTCCTTTCCCTACCCTCCCGTCCTCTGATGTATCACAAACATACATCCACCACTGAGCTTTTTGGCTTGTCTCTGTCTTTCGGTTGCTTTCTCTGGCAACTCTGAGCCTGTACTGATCTGAGCAAGGAGTGCCATGCCTGGACAGAGGGCGCAAGAGCCCACCTGTCTCCCTCCCCTACTCAGGGGGGCGCTGGTCGCAGGCCAGGGGGAGGACAAGGGCATGGCCAAGGACATTTGTTTCCAACTTCCTCTCTAGAACTGTATCCTTGAAACTGGCTATTCAAAAGAGAGACAGAGGGAGGCCTGGGTGGCTCAGTTGGTTAAGTGGCTGTCTAACAAAGACAGCAGAATAAAGAATCCTAACTGCTTGAGACTATTTGCTGTCTCTATGAGACCCATACTGTTCAGACAAAGTCTAAATAAATTCAGTTTAAAGAGCATGCATCAAATACTATGAGTAGAGCATTGTGATACATGCTAAAAGGGAAACAAATGATATATACGGTCCCTTAGGAAGTTCAAACTCTAGAGCTAAAAGCTTAAAACCTAAAAATTGGGGCGTCTGAGTGGCTCAGATGGTTAAGTGTTTGCCTTCGGCTCAGGTCATGATCCCAGGGTCCTGGGATCGAGCCCCACATCAGGCTCCCTGCTCAGCGGGGAGCCTGCTTCTCCCTCTCCTTCTGCTGCTCCCCCAGCTTGTACTCTCTCGCTTGCACTCTCTGTCTCTTAAATAAATAAATAAATAAATAAATAAATAAATAAATAAAATCTTTTAAAAAAGAGAGAAATATAATAAAAGTGGAAAATTATTCAGATTAGTAATGATAATAACCATATTTTAATAAAATCCTCTTTTTTCCCCATTTTAAAGCACTTGTGTGTCTATTATCCCACTGATGGTAGAAAGAGTTTTAAATGTGAAAAGTGTGTATGTGGACTCTGTCCCATAAAAATACATGTATTCCTTTTAAACCGCCAGGTACCATAGGCCAGTATAAGTCTCCAGTGTGCAAAAAAGATAGTCAGAAGGTCAAAAATGCAGCTTTCCCAGGTGAGTAACTTCAAACCGAGACAGCCTGAGGGTCTGGGCAAGTCTGACTAAATATGAGTAAGTTTTCTCTTAAAAAGACATCAAAATAAACAGTTTAAAACAAAAAAGACATCGGAGCATTGT